ATCAGGAATTAAAGCCCACTTTGCTAATGGCTGCACATAACGTGCAGTCCCTACCTGAAAGGATGACTGGAAAAACACAGGGCAGGCAACAAACCCAGGCTGAGGTTGCAAGGCAGCGACCTTCTTCTCTGTGTGCATTACGTGGGGGCAACGCCCTCACCTCTCTCACCCGTCCCAGCCTGACCTTGGGAGAACTGAACGGAGTTTGCAAAGGCTGTTTGGGGTAGAAATTGTCACTATTAATAGCCTGCAGGAGTGAACAGCCGTGTTGGTCCAAGAGGTAACTTTTCTGAGCATTATCCGTGCCTCAGGAAGGAGGTTGGGTTAGGTGGGTCGTTACTGTTATCAAAGTCACCCTGTCGCTGTTCATCACGTAAAACCCGGGAGCAGGAAAAAATACCGCAGCGTGACAGCGCTGTGAGCGCCGTGCTTGGGTCTGGTTTTACTAACACAGCCCCTGGATTTCCCGCGTGGAGTCTAACGCCTGCTCAGCGGGCAGGCTGGGAAGGTGATTTTCCACTCCGTAGGTTGAAGATGCCTCGCAGCTGCGCAGGCCGGGTGCTGTGCAAGCAGCGCAGCGTTTCACTGGGAGGGAGCAGGCTTCTGCTCTCCCTCTCGCCTGGCTTGACCTGATGACCACCCTCTGATCTTCCTCCACAGCTGAGCCGTTACAAAAGCCGTTGCGTTTTTGGCAGAAGACTTGGGTCTCTCCTGGTGTTAAGTCTTAAGCTGCAGCAGCACAGCCATGAAGTAGAGTCTTGATTTGTTGTCTCCTGCCTCATACCGGTCTCTTGCATTTCAGATCGCCTACGCTGCAGTGGACTGTGCCAAAGGACAGAATCATGACCTGTGCAAGCAGGAGGGGGTTGACGGCTACCCCACCTTCAACTATTACAACTATGGGAAATTTGTGGAGAAATACAGCGGGGAAAGAGGAGTAAGTGATAGCAAGAGTCATCACCTGGCAGCGGGAGGATGGTCTCTTCTGCCTGTACTGCCCTGCAAATGGGCACTGTGGAGTAAATTTTTACCATGCTGGTAGGATGTGTAACTGCTGCTGTTACTGTCTTGCATTGATGAATCGCTGTGTGCCACACCCTTGTACTTCTCTGCATCAGGAACATTCTTGGACTATTTTAGGAACGTGAGGTTTGGTAATACTTTTTCCTGAAATCTGCAAGTGAATTTGGATGGAGTGAAAGTGGAAGGTGTATTGCATGGGCTGCTGCTAGGTGCCGAAATGCCAGAAAATACAGAACTTCCTCTTGTTAGTTCTGGATCTGCATCGCACATGTACTGCACACAGTTACGGGTCCACCAGGCTGCCAAACAGTGACAGACCCTTGGTTTTATAGCAGGGACAGTACTGTCCTTTGGAGACTGGGGCACACTAAATGTCTCATTCACCCTGAATCAGATTCGGTCCTGGCGCTCCGGGAACGAAAGACAAATGATGCCATCTAGCCCATGGGCTGAAGTTCCATTCCTTAGTCCTGCTGTGGCCAGCTAATTATATGTTATGAGTACAAGGGGCACAACGGCATAGAATGCCTTCTGTGGTTGTAAAGTGCCTGACAATAAGGGAGCAATCCAATAATTTGTGTGCGTTCCTTGTCAGAACCCCTGAGAGGGAGGCTACTCCTTAGCAGTGATGGATTGCCCGGAGAAGTTAGGGTCCGCAGGAAACACTGGGGTCTTCAAGCTATTCAGTGATTTTGATAAAAGAGCTTTGCCTGGAAGTTATTGCTGCTATTTACCAAATCAAAGCTCACCAAATTATAGAGAAACATGAGGAAAAAAGCCAAATTCTGAGGTTCTTTGTCAGTCAGGATCTTAGGGAAGTCTTCCTGGGGCTTTGCCTCCCAGTTTTCTCCAGTATTAGGACCTCAGTAATTACCATTTAGGGTGCTGATCCAGGTGTTGTTATGGATACTGTGTTTAATTCAGATTGTGGATCTTTTCTTAGAAATAAAGATGGGTGCAGTACCCAACAATTAAGTAAAATCTCAGCTGCAATTTTTGTACTTCTAACCCGTACTTACAGAAATGATATATGGAAGGAAGGATCTCTGGTGACTGATAAAAAGAATTTAGCAAGACGGGAGTGCGCTGAGGCCACAGCAGTTGGGAGATGATTATCCCTCTGCAGGAAAGTGGACTGACTAATCCCCTACGTGCAGCCAACCCTTCCTGGGGTAGAATTAAATTATCCAACAGGAACATCACAATCTCTCTGCTGCTGGCAACTGTGTTCCCGCTGTACCTCTCCTGGGACCTGGGTCTTCTGCTTGTGCAGCGTCGAATCAGGTTTTGTGCTCGCTGGAGGCAGCGTGTAGCGCAGTGCCCTCCATGGAGTTTCCGCGCTCTCTGCTGCGGGCAGCTGTGTTCCCGCTGTACCTCTCCTGGGACCTGGGTCTTCTGCTTGTGCAGCATCGAATCAGGTTTTGTGCTCACCTGTCATGGTAACGCTGGAGGCAGCGTGTAGCGCAGCGTCCTCCATGGAGTTTCCGCATCTGATCACAAACCTGTTTCAGTAACAAGAGATTGTGCTGTTAAGGGACTTCTCACCTTGGCCAACCACCTCCTGCTTTGCAAAAGAAATCTCGGGAGAGAGTATTGGGAGCCAGGGAACCTGTTTTCTGTTCCTGATTCTGGCACTAAGTCACAGAATCACAGAATCATAGAATTGTTTGGGTTGGAAGGGACCTTAAAGACCATCTAGTTCCAACCCCCCTGCCATGGGCAGGGACACCTTCCCCTAGACCAGGTTGCTCAAAGCCTCATCCAGCCTGGCCTTGAACACTTCCAGGGATGGGGCATCCACAGCTTCTCTGGGCAACCTGTCCCAGTGCCTCACCACCCTCTCTGGGAATAATTTCTTCCTGATATCTAATCTAACCCTCCCCACTTTCAATTTAACCCCGTTCCCCCTTGTCCTGTCACTACAGACCCTTGTAAAAAGTCCCCCCCAGCTTCCTTGTAGCCCCTTCAGGCACTGGAAGGTGCTATAAGGTCTCCCTGGAGCCTTCTCTTCTCCAGGCTGCACAAGCCCAACTCTCTCAGCCTGTCCCCATAGCAGAGGTGCTCCAGCCCTCTGAGCATCTTCGTGGCCTCCTCTGGACTTGCTCCAACCGGTCTGTATCCTTCTGTCAGTAGATGTCCCTGGGCATTTAGTCCAGTGTGGTCCAGCTGGTGTAATATCATTCCACGTGGGCAGAGAAGAGGCGTGGGAGCAACATGACATGCTACAGGAGAAGCCATGGCCAGCAGAGCAGTTGCTCTCAGCTCCTTGCTACCCCACTCCGGAGTACTGGCTGTGGGGAAGAGCATAGCCCCCATGGTAGCCTGTAAGGAGTCCTTCCCACCCCCAAGGAAATTGCAGTTCCAGAGTAGAGATCATAGGTCGTTTTACCCTGAGCAAGGAAGAGTCAGGAGACCCTCTGACCCCCAAGTGTATTTTAAATGACTTCCAGACGCACAGCTCTGAAAACTGGGGTCCTTCCGCAGGGGCTGTTGATTGCCAGATGTCTCCAGATGACGTATCACCCAAACTTATCACTTCATTCTCTTTCAGTGGAAGAAGAGTATTTTGTTGTTCAGCCTTCTCAAAACCTTCCCAGTGCTGGGGTTTGGTTTTAGTTTATTTTGCATTCTTCATTTGGTTTTGTTGTTCCCCAGCGTTGGTTTAAGTCGACCTGTGACTTCTACCTCTTTGTATTTTCCCTCTTTATCACCAGTTTTGGTAGGTTTGTTTTGGGATTGCTTGAAAGTAAAAAATGGTCACAGTGGGTGGGATCAGTGTTACTTGCCCAGACAACTGTAGTGTGGGTGTAGCGGTAGACCTGGTTAGAGCACAGGTGTTCCCACCTCCCCCTCTCCAAGCCTTTTGAAATGCCCATGAGTTGTGTTTGGAGCTTTCCTTGGAAAAGGAAACTGCTGGCATCCAACAGCCTTAGACAAACGGAAGTCACAAGTTGTTAAAACACAGAGGTTGACATCTAGGCGTCCAGGTTTGAAATTGTTTGTCAATAATTTTGGTAGTAGCTTGAAAAAATGTAATTCCTATGTGTGAGTGTGTGGAAAAGGAGGAAGATCACGAGCAAAACTGTTAAGGGATGAGGAACAGTGGCAAACGTGTGTGTAGCCAACAAATGGTCCACTAACTGCTTCCAGAATCACACGTGTAGCATACAAGCGCGGCTTGAAAATGTCTTTTGAGTGTTTTCAACAAAAAGGCATCAGTGTCACTCCTAGAGACGGATTTCACCTTGTCCTGTGAGTTTTACGGCCTCTTTGTCTGTGTCCCACCTCTTCAAAGATTGACATGTGGAATCTGCAAGGATATTTTCCCCTTGCATTGCAGTGGAGCAGCACTGGGCCAGAGCGCTGCACGGTGAGGCAACGCAGAAGCAATAACTGCTCCTTCCTTTATATTCTGCAGTGGTGTACAGAAACTAAAAGTGCTCTGAACGTATTGCTTTGCTTTGTTTGTAAAAATATGACCTGTCTTTTTCTTTCTCCAAAACCAGGAGTCTGGATTCACCACGTTCATGCGA